GGATTATTCTTATATATTGTTTGTAACGAACATTTCTATACAAGAAATTTCTAGACTAATAACTATATGAGAAAGATTTTCGCAGTTTCCTACCTAAAAATCTGCTCTGAACGCTTATATTTCGGTGATATTCGTCTGATTTGTCTGACACGACATGTTTTGCCGGGGGTATAGCTCACGTGGTAGAGCATTCGACTGCCAGATCGAGAGGTCCGTGGTTCAAATCTGCGTGCCACATGTGTTCTCTAAGAACCTTAGTATAGAAGTTGCTTATATTTCATCACAAAAAAAATTTGTTGCTTAAAATCGTTTTATAGTGTTCACTTTCGCATTGTATTATGTATTCAAGATGGACGCTGTATTTTTTTCTGTAGGCTGTGGTGTTTGGTAGTTAGAGTGCTGAATGGAGTGACCTAAATGCTAAATTGATCCACTGACCCTTAAAGATCTACTGATTATTTTTGACATTAAATGTGGCATTCGGAAAACTTCATATATTAAGAATGTATTGTTAACGCAATTGTTTAAAATTCTCAGCAGTTTCTGTGAGAATGTATTATTGATGGTGATCTGTTGAAATCTCTTTCTATTATGGCATCACTACACTTTCTTGGCGAAATAAAATCTCATACATTGTTGTTATGCATAACAGTATAACCTTTGTGTAAAGCTTCTAATTTGCACTCAATAGGAATTTCGGGAAGTAGTTTTGAATATTCTTTCTATCACCCTTCTTGTGCAGAAGGGTGAAAACCCGGTTCTTCACTAATGTGGTATACCTCCATTCTAAAGATATGTCATATGGCGTTCGAGAAGTGCATGTAGTTTGTGACCAACTTCTAGGAATAAGTGAACATTTATCTTATCTCTCGTGATCAACTCCGTTTCAGTGCGAATGTAGTGAGTATCTCATTTTCCTGTAGCAGAGGCGAAAGAAAAACTCAGATATCACAGAGAATCCGACGACACATCTTTGCACTAGTTCGTGTTCAGCTTTTTCCATTAGTTTTTCTTGCTTATACCGTTTTAATCTACCTGCAACGATCTCCGACACTTAACATTGATTACGATCCGTGGTAGACGGGTTGCAGTTGGGTCTAGCATCAGCCTTCTCCTAGTTTTGAGGATTTTGTTTTTTGTAAAGAACTGCCCTGCTGTGTTCTTAAATGAGGAACTTAAGCATTATTAACTATTTAGCATATTCTTGCCGTTATTTCATAAGTAACTCTTATGTTTTGGTTGGGTCTTCTTTCATCTGCTAGTCATGTATGGAAAAGATACCATTGAGATTTTTTCCATCAGTGTAAAATGCGTCTAATTCGTCCTGATCTACTGTACTAGTTGATAAATAGCACTATTAAATAAATACTTCTCTAATTCAATAATAAATTGACGACGTGAAATCCAATGATATTTTTTAATCTAGAGCAAAATCGAGGTAATTTTCAATATACAAGATCTCTATATTGATAGTCTTTTCAAAACTACGTCATTTCAAAAGAACCTCATGGCAGTTGTCAAAATGTCGGCAACTATGCCTTTTTTCATTAAGGATAGTGCACAACATGCTACAGATATAATATTGAAAAAACATTGATTCAATCACAATGAGAGATCATGTTCTTTGAATTTTATCACTTCACTAAATGTGATTTGTTCCACCACCACAGAGTTATTGAAATCGCTCGCTTGCAAGTGGGACCGCCTTCGCAATCAAAATGAAACGCCTAGAATTTGTCATCGGTGTTACTTGCTTGCAACCGATAACGTCATGATATCCTTCTTTATTTGCCAATGATGTTATCATTCACGATTACATCGCTCGCTTTCGCGTAGTTAATTCTCAAATTGAAGTTCCTCTATCTTACTGCTGATATTTTTCAATCCATATCATTATATCAACTATACCTCATGCTGTATAAACGTGGAAATATGATTTACGGATCGAATCCAATAATAGGACTTGTTTTATGTTCACATGTAAACTCTGCTAAAATTAGCGAACCATAAGATAAAGTTTGTTTCGTGAGATATTGCTATTCTAGATTAAAATCTTAAATTAACTTTCATAATAATAACTATATCAGCTATTTTAAGATGTTATTCGACCGACTTCGAAACGGCATAGAAAATCTAACGACTTGCGTTCAAAAAATAAATCCACGGCATTGTATTCCACTGCTTGTGCTTTTTATTCTGGTCGTTTATTTGTTTATGGGATCTGCTTGTTTTTGGATTTTTGAACATGATCATCATGAACAGAGTGTACGGAAGTGGTACATGAATCTTGCTGTTAACAGGTATTACATTGCTACAAATCTTCATTTTGAGCATTTCTTTTTATCTTTACTGTTTTTTAAAATCAATTTTACACATTAAGTCATCTAATATGTCTGTTGTACCGAAAATATATGGCGTAAATCTCACAAATATCACCTATTTCGTTTTGACTATATTAACTATTAGGAGTACACAATTATGAAGATTTTTGAAAAATATCAATTCCTGATTTCAGTTTATGCCGTTTCACGACAATGTGTTTCATAGAGCTCATAAGATGTAGTGAAGAAAAAAGTTCAGTAGATTTTGAAATAGTGAGTCAAAAAACACCCACTCATTTTAAGTTTCAGCGAATGTAAGCATTCTTCCCCTCGGGAGCAACTTATCATCCCGCTTATCATAACGCATGTCTGCTTCCCAGTTTTTTTTGAATTGGTGTACTAACTATATGTATTTTTTATTCATTTATTTTTATATACATATATTTGTCGTGTCACACCCATAAAAATCGAAATTGAATGGCTGACGCTAGTCTAACAATAATTTTTGATAATTCATAAACACATGTGGTCCATTTTTCATAATAATCTTTCTATTGAAATTTACTTGATTTGATTGTATTTCAGAAGGCACTTTGCCAGATCAATCGGCTCGAGAATTTTCAACGATACCAGAAATCTACTAATCATCATAGATCGAGAACAAACAGAAAGAGTTCAGGTGATTTGTATCTGATAATTATACAAATGATTCCGATAGTGACTGACTGAGGTTGTGTGGACATTAGAAATTCATCCAATCACAGAACATAGTACTTTTCAGAAGTACTTTTTTTTCTGCTGTGGAAGAAATTCAAATCTTCCTCAAAATTCGTAAAGCTATTCGATCGGATCTGTTTCTGTTTTGTCTAAGGTTTTTTCATCTTTGCCACTGCCAAGGAAGGAAAATGAAAGCTTGACAAATTTGGCTGTATAAGTTTTTCTAGTGTTTCAACGGAGCTGCAACTAAGAAGCGTTAAGGAACGCACTAATTGACCAAAGAATAACGAGCAAAATGGGTTAAAATGCGGTTTGTGACGATTCGTCGACAGCAATCAGCCACCACCATCGTCTCAATAGCTAGAAAGCTGGGCTAATTATAAGCGAAATTCTTCGCTACATATGCAGCATTCAAACTGCTACATTATAAATTGGTCCAGCAATTGATTTTAAAAAAAATCAACCTCAAGACAAAAAAATTAGGTTTCATATGGGGTGAATAGTCTATTTTATACAGCACGTAACACATATATCAGTTATGACTGCTCATTTCTTTTAATACTGATTCCTTATCGTACACCAATGACTGTTTAATTTACTTGCAATCAAAAGAGAATACTAAAACTTTTGACATTTTCTTGTCCATTAATTTCATTGCTTGAAAACCATTATTCATCGCCGTTTAGACATATCTGGATTGGTCCTGCCAAATTTTTTTTCTTCCAATCAAACGTTCATTCGCACTCGTTCTTAACGTTGAACACTATAACGGTTTGTGAAAAGTGATTAACTCTCCAGCAAATCAGCAATGAATCACTATTAATAATAATAATCACTTGCTACTCATCGCTCATTGCAGCTGATGATAACGAATTGGACGCTATTCACAAAAGAATAAAGAAATATACAAAGCAAACACTTTTTTAACAACATCATTTGTGCAATGATGGTAACGATTAACGAAAAATTCATAAAATAAGCTTTTGCGTCCAATGTTCCGTGTTGCGGGATGCGCCTACGCAATCGTGTTCTACGTGATGACTGAGTGCGAACGTGGTCAATACAAAAACTTTATATGGTGAAAAACTTTGGTATAAAGATTCAAATAATCATGGTAATAGAAAACGTCTTTTTGTTCCTATTCTTTTGACCGCTTCTGGCTGCACTCCTAACAGCTGCAGCTTTCGGTTGATCTCATCGATTTACTGAACATCTAGTTCTCAGATTTAATGGTTCCGCAGATACTTAGAAAGCTGTAGTTCATCGGACCGATAACATACTACCACACAGTAATCATGCAGTATTTTTTTTCGGAATTCAAAAGATAAATCAAGAGATTTGCATTATAATCAGGTATAAAATAACCTCTTTCACTTAAAAATCAATTGCAAAATCACATGACAAAGCTTGATATTACATAAACGGAAAATATTTTCCAACAAATATACTTAATTTAAAAAAGTAGCTATGTAATTGAAGGAACCAAATAGTTGTGTACATATAAGTATGGAAAATCATAATCCAACTTAACGATTCTCCTAGATGCCCTCGCTGATACCTCAACCACATAGAGAACATATTGAGCTTGTCTTAGAGCGCGTCATTATACCATCATGATACAAGTGGCAAATATTGCAACAAACAATCACATTTCATGTCGTAGTAAATCGTGGGTGAAATCGAAGAATTATTTTTCAAACGCGTGATATACGATATTCACATATGATATGAGAAGACTCGAAGAGACATGGACTGAAATAGTTGTTGAGTGAGTATCCCAGGAGAGTACAAACCCTGTAATAGACGGCCGCATGGATGGAAGATAGTTAGCCTACTGTGTCTACAACTAAACAAAAATCACACAACGGAATGGATCTAGCCGCTGTTACCTAGTATGAAGAAAAACACCTACATGGGCGACTGTGGCACGGAAAGATAACGATTCGAATTGTTACTGATGAAAGCCCCCCATCCAAATAATCCCAGCATTATTGAACCTATTTATATGTGCTTACCTAATATGGCACAAAGTTACAAGATAAGATTAGCTTCAATGTTGACGATTATCATTGTAGTATGTGCCAAGGTCTATCTCTTCAACATGATATTGTGGTGCTTGAATATGAACCTGATTTATATATTGCCCTGAGTTTATCATTTTTTACCAAATTTTGTCATCACCCTTTCCAGGTTTTTTTAC